TTTTAAACACAGTATGTCATCATTCCTTTGTTTGGATAGATCACCAATATGAGCTTAATTACATCTAGTGTAGGCAGAGAAGGTCCCTGGCCTTTATCACCACTTTCTAGAAAACCTTCAGGAATGGCTTTGCCTATCATAACTGGTCTCACATCAGTCTCCTCCCCGCCAAGTGCAGGTTTCTCCTTTAGTTCCCCTAAAATGAACATTTAATATACATATCAACAGAAAGCATATGCATAAAAAACCAATTTATATATACCTGGTACACACAAGGTTTGCTGATCATCTATGCAGCACAATATATAAAATATAAAGCTATATTGTGAAGTAAAACAGTTTTATAAAAAAAATGCATTCTCAACACATTTATTGGACGTGAAAAACAACATTGTACAATCAGAAACGATGGATTTCAGGGGGCTAAATTACCGAGTTATCGTGGGGTATTTAAGTTGTATGAGTACACGTATGAAGCTCTCGGCGTGTCACATATGTCTACATGTACGTAGGACTTCGACCGTATAGCTGAATACGACCAGCCCGGACCATACTGCTGTATAAACATTGTTTCACTGACATGCTGTTGTGCATGTGATGATATAATCATTTACGTAAACAATGATATCTCTATATTACTTTATATTTAACAAGATGGTGCCCCTAAAAAGTTCAGTTTATGCATAATCTATGCCAAAATAACAAAAGAAAAGTTTGCTGAATTGATATTTGATATAAAATCCATTACTATCTCGCTAAAGATTGATGAGTCGTATAGAACACGTATAGAGACATATTGGTCAGAAAAGACTTTACCAACGATCAAGCGCAAGGATGTTTTACAAAAAAGATTGAAAAACAACAATTGCAAATCAATGAATCACATGCTCAAGTTTCAAACTGATGAAGTTCCCGATCGAATTCAGGGTTTATGTACTTTATACTATTCATCAGTCTCAATACTATTATGTACCACGTATTTAGATTAAGTCTAAGTTCGTGGATGGTGTACGTAGAAAAATGAGTTCCCGAGCTTTTTGAGCATGCAACAATCGCAATACTTTTTATGGTCGTTGGTACCGGTGACTATGAACTAGCCGCGCACGCGCAAAATTTCAAGCGGGAATTGTCAACATTTGATAAAGCTCTAAAAGTTAAAAGTTCCCAAAACATGTGTGCCAGAAAACCGACTTTTGTTTTTACTTCTACGAATGATATGTCAACAATACCGCAGGAATCGCTAAAAATATGAAAATACCGACGGTATTAAGCATTAAGCTTAATTAAAAGTTATTTTTTATCTTATTTTTATTTATAAGTCTACAAATAAAAACGCAGTATTTATATGTTTTCAAACACATTACATATATATAGTCACACGAACATATATTACGGACAAGAGTCCGTAGCGGTCTGGTAACTTCTACAAAGAATGGAACTGAAAAAAAAATCATCCGTGGAACTGAAATAAAATCCTCCACTCTGACGAGGAAAACAACAAACAATAAAACAAAAAAATGCAATATAATCCGGGGTGGCCGTGTTCAGCTATGCGAAGTCCTTATATATGTGTGCACACATGTGTGATACGCTGTAAATTTTCATACTCTTACATGTACATCGTAAAATTTATCTCACGATAACTCGGTCAATGTTTTCAAATATCAAACTGAAATTTGGTATAAAAGTGTGTTATAGTCATATGAATAACATATCGTCTGATGTTGCTTACTTTTTTAGATTAATTTTAGGGATATAGTTTGAAGACGCTTCACGATCTGTAAATTTCTTTATGCACATGTGCAACGCCGCCAATCGTAAACATTCAATTCGTCATTTCTATGTCATTTTTTCAAATATCGACCTGAAGTTTGGCACATAGGTGTTCATAGTCATATGAAAAATATATTTTCTGATGTTGCTTACTTTATAGGTTAATCTTAGAGGTAAAGTCTGAAGACGCTTCACGATCTGCGGCGTTCAATTCGCACACGTGTGCCACGCCGCCAATCGTAAAAAATAAATTCACCATAACTCGGTCGTTTTTTCATATATCTAGCTAAAATTTGGAGTATATATCAATAAAAGTCTTGTTCATAACATATCCTCTGATGTCACTTACTTTAGTAAGAGTTTTTAAAGATATTGTCTAGTGACGTTTTCTTAACTGTACAGGTTATTACACGCACGTGCCACGCCGTAAAATTCAATTCATCATAACTCGGTCAATTTTTCAAATATCAAATTGAAATTTGATATAAAGGTGTATTATAGTCATATTAACAACAAATCTTCTGATGTCGCTTACTTTATTCGGTATTTTTTATAGATTTTGTCTGGCGACACTTGTTGTCACTTGCAGACGCTTTCTATTCATTTAAAGCATTTGGTCATTTATCTCATTATACAATAAAAAATACACATATTTTTCTTAATGTTTACATACCTCATATTTAACAGCATGTTTTTCTTTCTTCTGAGTGTTCCCTAGCTGCGATAACGTAGCTTTCTGACGACAACATTTTTTTAATCGGGGCAGAGGAGGCCGGGTATTAATATTAGTACTAAGTGTTCTCATGCATCCGAAGAACTGCATTAAAAATGCACCCTTACATTCTCGAG